GATTAATCTTTCACGTTGTTTGAAGTAAACTACGTTAAGATATTGAACATGTATATACGTATTGGATGCTATGCACTACAGGTAATTTGTTACGGGAGAAGTTCAAGTGGGACATTTATTTTCCGGTAAATAATTAATCTTATTGAAGTAACTTATTCATTAAAAATAAATCGAATAATTGTTATTTCAGTTACTAAAAATCTACAAAAAATTTCCCACGACACTTATTTCGCAGCTGTAATTGAGATATGTGTCGAAATTTAATTTTCACATAATATATTCGCTAAAACCGTGTTCAGATTTCCCACCCGAATGCTACACAGGTATCATTTACCCTTGTTCATCGTTAAACAACAGTAAAATATATGGGGAGTGGAAATGTGAAATGCCCTAACGTCATTTTCTCTCCCCCTCGTGCCCCACGCAATATGGCTTCGGTTTCAAACTTCTTCAATATCAAAACGAAATTTGATACATTCGGCTACAAGTGTACCGGCTAGGCCGTGTAAGCGTCCAATTTCAATTGTTATTTGAAGGGCTCGCTACGACTAGCCGCGCAAAAGTGTCCGTTGCTTCATTGTTCATTCCATTCTTATTGGTGTTATGCAAAGGGTATCGTACGCAACTCGTCCCCGTAGAGATTTATACACACGTGAGTACAGTTGCGTACTCGGGTGCACCATCATCTATGAACGATCAGCACGTAACCGAACACAGTCGCACGGTCGCACGTGTGCGCGTAGCCGGTGGTAGCCGGCGAAGGGAGGAAGAGAATGGGATTGTGTACAGAAGGGGGATGACGAGGGGATGGAATCGAGAAAGAAGACTTGCTAACGAACCGGAGGAAAGGAGACGGAATAAGGCAGGAGTGGGGATGCGCCCGATCGTTAAAGCAGCATGACTGTCCCCACCTCGCTCGTTCCCTCACGCCCAAGCAGCCCATTCATAAAGTTGCGTCCGCTAATTCTTAGCATCCTCCCGTTCAACGTTTCCCCATTCGGCGTCGCGCGAATGTAGGGTGATTTGGACAACGAAGAATAATACGTGCGATTCCCTCTCTCCTAGAATTTTCATTCGCATTTATCTGTCGCAAAAAATGGAACGGAGAGGAGAGACAAATAAGTCGTAGAAGATTAGACGTCCAAAATGTAGATTATGATTTGGACGTCTCGATACATTGCGGTACTTTTTTATCAAATATGGATTTTTTCCATATTAAATCAAGGTAGGGCGATTACGTAACATTCGCCCTAGGGCGGAAACATGAAAAGCGAAAAACTTCTCAACTACTTTTCATGACAAACATTTTCGCTTTTCACGTTCCCGTTTGGGGAGAAAGTTGTGCGACCCTAATCTTCAAAATCCTAAATATTTGATGACATATCAGTCAAAAAGTTTTCAAAATTTATTTGTAGAAATAGTATAGAGAATTTTAGATACAGATGGATGGAAAATTTTATACTAAAAAAGCAAAAAATTTAATACTTTTTATCATTATCAAATTATTAATAATTTTTTTTAACATTCTTTTCATTCGGAATTCATTTTCAAATGTTATACTGTTAAATTCACAAATGTCAGAATACAACCAAATTGAGTTGTTTTTAATTATTTATGTAGGTCGCCATTACTCAATATGTCGATAATTTAACTAAAGCAATTTCATTCAATAAATTCTATTAAATTTGACTCATTTAGTTGATTATTTACTAAATGCATACGATAGTATTGTTTAAGCGATTACAGAAACGTGTTGATTTATATTTTGACATGAAGATAAAAATAATAAAATGTCATTTAACTCAACGCGCGTATTGGATGAAAATTGCTCCTTTGATATCTCCAACAGTGTAGCTTTTACAGCTGGTGACGCAATACTGATTTTATTGTTGGCTTGGCCTTCTGCCTCCTGTATACCGTACATAAATTAATCATGTCTATTTTATCACGACGAGGTCATTAAAGATTCGTGCCAATTAAAGATTCATTGATGTTTAACGATCCATGACGTGATTCGCGCGAGAGGATTGACCGCGTCGCGCTTCTGCGCGGCCCCAACGCAACACCTGTTCCTCGGGATGAGATCTGACTTTGCCCGATCGACCCTGGCTGGTGGCTGAAGGTCATCGTCGCCGTCGCCGTCGCCGTCGCCGTCGTCGTCGCCGTCGTCGTCGCGGGGTAGGGGTAGG